TCGTTCTTGGTGCTTTTGTCATTAGGGAGAGCTTTCTGTATCTCTGCTATTGCTCTAGTAAGATCTGTTTTGTCTGATATTAATGCAGCTGCTTTATTTTGGTAATGTGTGCTTGCTTTCAGCCTTTCCATAGTATATTTTTTCATATGCTCTTTGATTTTTAATGCAGGCCGACAGTCTTTGTATTTGATAGGGACATGAAATCTATTTATACGTAATATATATCTTTACCTCTTCCTGAGCAATGCAAGAACCAAGATGGCTTTGATTCCAGTTATTCCATTCTGGCATAAACATAGTTTTCATAATGTACTTTAATTCTCCATATATGTTAAGCATAGTATATCAATAGATTTTCATGAAAATATTATTTTTCAGATGGCTCAGTGAATAAAGGCGCTTGCCATTAGGCCTGATAACATGCATTTGATCCCAGGAACTCTATGTACAAACACAACAAACAATTGTAAACAAAAAGATTGCTGTCATGCTTTGTATTAAAAACCATTTAGATCAGAGTCTTTGACCATCTTATCAAGATTCAGGGCCAGATTGTTCTCTTCCATAGGATCTGGCCTGTGTGTTGTTTAACAGCAGTCCTGGCCTTTTTTAGCACACCTTCCCCCTGTTATAACAGCTGAGAATACTTTAGATATTGCCGGATGGCCTGCTCCTCACCTGAGAGCTGCTTCCTTAGACTCCCCTAAACAATTTTTCTTCTTATCCTTTCCTGCTCTAGACTTTTGTTCAGCTTTTCCTTCTCATTCAAGAAATGTCTTACAGTAATTCATTCTGTGCAGTTCTTTTGAGGATCACCTCTCTTTTTTTTCTCAACTGAAAATGCTCTTATGTTCTGAAAGTACGTGTTTGCTGCATAGATTTTAGGTTAATAGTGTTTAACATTTTTCAAGATACCATTACTGTTTTTTTTGTTTGCATTGCTTCTACCTAAAAAACAAAACAAAACAGGATCTTGTGTAGCCCAGACTCTTTGCATAACCATGGAAGACCTTAGCTTTCTGATCCTTTTGCCCAAACTTCCCAAGTGCAGGGTTGACAGGAGCCTGTCACCATGACTTCCTTTGTTGGTTTAATTGAGAAGTCATGACTCAAACAAACTGCTTTTAAAATGGCATTTTTTTTTCCTGGCCACTTTGTGGATGTTCTCCTTGGCCCTCAGATGTTTTACTCTGGTGTACGTAGAAGGTGTGGTTCTCTTGTTCTATTACATTTAGGATTCATGATACATTTTTAATAAATGCTGAATTTGAGGAGGCTAGGGAGTGGGAGACAGGGTTTCTCTGTGTAGCCCTGGCAGGCCTGGAACTCACTCTGTAGACCGGCCATCCTGGAACTCCCAGAGATCCACCTGCCTCTGATTCCCAATGCTGGGATTAAATGCCTGTGACAGCTGCATGCTGAGTTGTGTTTTGTTTTGTTTTGATTTGTTTGCCAAATTTGGGTGTTCGTTTTTTGTTGTTGTTTTCTTAAACCCTCAGTTCTTTCCATATGGCTTAGTACCCTTCTCTTTTTAGAACTACAGTCATTGTGTGCAATAACCTTTCCATTGTGTCTTCATGCCACTTTCTCTTTATTGTATTTTTGTTCACCTGTTGCCACATGATTCATTCTCACAATTGTAACTGACCTGGCTTATTAATACTCTCCGAAGCTGTGGCTTATGCATTATTAAATTCATCTGTGGGCCTCCTTGCCTCTTTTGTTGTATTTCTTAGTTTTCAGTAATTTTCATTGTTTTTAATTCTATACTACAATCTCTAATTCTATATTCTCCTCTTTCAACATTTAATCATGTTTGTCTTAAAGTCTGTCTGAAGATAAGGTTTTTTGAGTCCTCTTTTTATCTGTGCCTGTCATCTGTTCTTTAGAATTTTAGCCGTGTTTATTTTTTAGTTTCTTCCTTTGTCTGATGCCCTTAGAATTTATGCCAGAGAAAGATATAAAAACTCATGAAATGTTTGGACCTAGGATGATATATTTTCCTCTATTTTTTTTTTTTTCAAAGACAGGGTTTCTTTGTGTCACCTTGGCTGTCCTGGACTCACTTTGTTGACCAGGCTGGCCTTGAATTCTGGCTTGTGCCTTCCAGAGTGCTGGGATTACAGGCATGTGCCACTGTGCCCCACTTGATAATATATTTTCTGTCTAAAGATTTTCATGTTTTAGTGTAGTGTTGCAAGCACTGTCAGTAATGAACCGAGCGATCTGAAGCTAGACGTCACTGTACCCAGTGTCACCACACCCATGGGTCTAGTTTTGCTAATGTCACAAGCACTGATCTTATCATCCTACGGCTTGGCCCTAGTCTTTGTTGTTTGTTTGTCCCCAGACTTGGAAAGCTATTTTAAAGCTCAGTTAAGCTCTCAGCCACTTCTTCTGGAATCCACAGATGTTTCTAGAATTAAAGCTGTTTCAGACCTAAGACAGTCTGGGTTTTAGTCTTATTCCGAACACTAGCTCTGTTGTTTTTCTCATCTTCCTAGTCGTTCTCAGCAGATGAGTTGGTCTGTTTTCTTTGCCAGAGAAAGTGCCTTCAGATTCCTCTTGTTCTTTGCAGAAAACTGTATTTCTTACTCTTAGACATGGTAAAAAATATATATATATAGATATATTGTGGATATTAAGTGTCTGAAAATATTCTGTTTGGTTGAAACTAGAATAGTAGCTTCAAAATAATTTTTCCTTGAATACTTTTCAGATATTGGTTTATTATTTTCCTCTCTCATACTTTGTCTCCTTTTGTCTTGCCATATACTGTGGCTAGCCTAGAGCTAACAATATAGACTGGGCAAACCTTGAACTTGTGGTGGTACTCCTACCACGTCCTCCAAGTATTAGGATTACAGTATTAGCTACCACACCCAGCTTGGTCCATTCTTATACTGTTGTGGAGATGTTGACTTGAACTCAGTTCCCATCCCTTTGTAGAAAGCCTTTTTATTCTGCCTTCCTGTGGAAATGTCTGATTTTTTTTTTAGCATGTCTTTAACATTTATGAGTTTCTCTATGAAATAGTAATAAATTATTGATTTTTTTCTTGAAATCTTTAAACCCTAAAACTTTTTTCTGTGATGAACTCTGTTAATTCTTTCCCATGCTTATTCAAAGATTTATCCCACCTTCCTCCACTCCTCCCCTATCCAACACTGGGAATGAAGCCTAGGGCAATAGGAATGCTAGACAAGAACCATACAGCTGAGTTGCGTCCCTTGCCCCATCCTCTATTTTTTTCGTTGATCCCTGTCTTCTCTTGAATGACTCCCCAGTTTCTGCCTTAGCTCTTGTTACTTCCCAGTGCAGCTATTTAGCCATATACTTGTTACTAACATATCTGCTATTATTTCTTGGAATTTGAGAGACAAGAAGGCACAATGTATATTTGGCTTCCCCTCTTGAATCTTAGTAGTTCTTTTTGTAGCTTCATCTGCTAAAATCTCCTTTAAAATCAGGTTTCACCCATGTGGACATGCCCTTGAATCATCTGAACTCAGCAGCTAGCAGTCTTAGAGATGTCTTCATGTCAACTCCAGCATCAAACTTCTGTTCAGGATCTTTGTATAAGTACCGCAGTCATTTGGAAGTCGTTGTTGTAGATCATTGAAATTAAATTATGTTTAAACGTTTTATGACTGCTTTAGTTTCAGAAAAACTGGTTAGCAGAATATAAAGAAGGAGCAAATTTATTGGCACCTGAGGTGATGTAGGAAAGCAAAAGCAATGACAGCAGTGGAAATATAAGCCAAGGGGCCAGGGTAACCCTGGGTTTGCTAAGTACAGCAGTGGGTCCTGAGCGACACATAGCATGAATATTCGCATCTTGTGCACCGGTAACTGACTTTGTTTGTTTTGACAGTTATATGTGCAATCAATGAGGGCCATAAACACTCACTTTTTGGACCTCTCGACTGTATAGATAACCCCCAGGGGTCTCCAGTGAAGACCTGCACCCACTTGTCAAGGAAGTATGTGAGCACTAGAAGAGATTGCCACTCAGCTAGATGACACACTCCCCCAGGATTGGGATCCTGAGACCTTCTCTTAGTTTGTTTCCCTGTTTTAAAGCAACTCATTTTTTTTTTCTTACTTTGGAAAGCTGAATAGATTTTTACAGAAGTAAATTAGCAGGGCTAACTTAATTTTAACAAAATCAGGATCTAGTTTAAATAAATTTTAAGAAATGGCCCCTAATACTAATTGATATTCAGTGGCTTACAGAATTTTGCATTTTGTTTAATATTTAATAAGCAACTTTATAATCATGTTTCTAGATACTCTCATAATAATATCATTTACATCAAGTAATGTTTTGGACTTTTTATGTTTGTCCAAATATTGACTATCATCTATAAACTTTGATTAACTTATTTTCTCCATTAAAAAATTTTATCACAGCTTATTGTGGTGGTCCACACCTTTGATCCCAGCACTCAGGAGGCAGAGGCAGGCGGATCTCTGTAAGTTCAAGGCCAGCCTGGTCTACAAAGCAAGTCCAGGACAGCCAAGGCTATGCAGTAAAGCCTTGTCTTGAAAAACAAACAAAACAATTTCATCACTTGTTTTAAGTAAACTTTAAAGGTATCCATAATCTTGACTATATCTATGAAGTTACAAGTTATTATCCTTCATGTTTTCCAGCAAACTTAAAATGGAAAATGCTATTAATTAAACATTTATGGGTTTTTTTTTTTTTTAGAACTTAAAGGAAATTGAGAAAATTAAAGTTTCAAATAGGTTGATACGTCTACTCATCTCGTAATTCTATCTAAACATATGACAATAGTTGATAATTCCTTAACATTTGATATACTGGGAAATAATCATCCTGAAAAGAAACAATTAAACAAAACAAAGCATACTTTTCAGTCTATTAGTACAGAGCTAATTTTCTCAAGGATTAAACATATTTGCACATAAAATACCCAGATAGTAAAGCCACACCACATGCTACAGTAGAAACTTAAAATTTAAAACATGTTTACCTGGAAATCTAAACTAAGTAGGCTTTGCTTGGTGTCATTTAAGTCTCCCGCTGAAAGTGAAACAAAACCAGAACTTTCTTTAAAAACAAAGAACAGAAGGGAATGTTGAAAATGTTAGCTGACTTCTTAGTAAAATCTAAAATAAGTGCTTCCCTTGGGATAAACGCCTTTCAGTTCTTTGTATGAAAAATCAGCCAAAGAAGTAACCAGGGAAAATGGTTACCAAGGGAAAAAAATTTTTTTTAAGACACAGGAAAAATGGAAAACATCAACAGTCATTGGGCGGGGGTTAGAGAACATTTCCTTTGCAGGCTGAAAGGCAGAACTGGAGTTACAAAAGTGAACTGAAAAATCTGTGGCTTTCATAGGATGTTTGCATAAAGATGTTGCATGAATATTGAAGTCCAAACTAGCAACATACCATATGAGATTTGTCAGGCTTATAGGAGTGGTATTCTCATCACCTAAAAGACAAATGTCTCTCCAATCCTGTTTAAATTGGGTTAAACTTCTTTTTATTAAGGAAACAAAAACTAGTTACATATTAATGCGATTAGAAATTATGTAATTTCAGTAGCTGAATGGTGGTAAATGTCTGTAATCACAGTACTTAGGAGGTAGAGGCATTGGGTGTTTTAAGATCGTTCTGGGCTATATATGGAGTTTGAGACAGCCTAGGCTACATGAGACCCTGCATCACAAAAATTATTGATTTCATATATATCAAATTATATGAAATATATTTTAATATATTTATTTATATAAAAGTGTGTGTGTGTATAGTAAGACTCCTCATTACCAGTTATTCCAGCAAATTAGATACATGCTTTGGCCTCAGGTTTGTTCGTCTCCCCATAAGCAAGTTAGAAGCAGATCAGTGTCAAGCCCAACACTGCTGGCTGTGGATGCTTGACTTACACTATGGAAGAGCCTAGTGACTATTTAGCAAAGTAGATGGAAGTCAGCTAGCAAGGCACATAGATTTGAAATTTAGAAATAATAAAGACAAAGATATACTTGCAGATGATGATATATTGATTTATAGTGGATTATATTGATCTCTGAATATCAAATTTGGAAACAATAAAATAGTGAATAAATGCCTTTACATTTTTTAAGGGATTTATTTTTTCTTTTTTTAAATTTTTTATTTTATTATTATTAATTACAGTTTGTTCACTTTGTGTGCCAGCTGTAGCCCTTTCCCCATCCCCTCCCAATCCCACCCTTCTTCCCTCTTCTTCTCTATATCCCTTCCCCAGTCTAATGATAGGGGAGGTCCTCCTCCCCTTCCCTCTGACCCTAGTCTATCAAGCCTGATCAGGAATGAATACATTGTCTTCCTCTGTGGACTGGTAAGGCTGTTCCCCCCTCAGGTGGAAGTAATCAAAGAGCCAGCCCCTGAGTTCATGTCAGAGACAGTACCTGTTCCTATTATTGGGGAACCTTCTCAGATACTGAGCTGCCATGGACTACTACTGTGCAGGGATTCTAAGTTATCTCCATGCATGATCTTTGTTTGGATTATCAGTCTCAGAAAAGACCCCTGTGCCCAGATTTTTTGGTTCTGTTGCTCTCCTTGTGGAGCTCCTGTCCCCTCCAGGGCTTTCTATCTCTTCCTTCTTTCATAGGATTCCCTGTACTCTGCCCAAAGTTTGGTTATGAGTCTCAGCATCTGCTTTGATATCCTGGTGGGTAGAATCTTTCAGAGGCCCTCTGTGATAGGCTCCTGTCCTGTTCCCTGTTTTCTCCCTCTTCCGATGTCCATCCCATTTGCCTTTCTGAATGAAGGTTGAGCGTCTTACCCAGGGTCCTCCTTCTTGCTTAGCTTCTTTAGGTGTACGGATTTTAGTATGATTATCCTATATTATATGTCTAATATCCACTTATAAGTGAGTATATACCATGTGTGTCTTTCTGCTTCTGGGATACCTCACTCAGGATAATCATTTCTAGATCTCACCATTTGCCTGTAAATTTCATGGTTTCTTCGTTTTTAGTTGCTGAGTAGTATTCCATTGTAAATTGTGTAAATGTACCACAATTTCTGTCTGTATTCCTCAACTGAGGGACATCTGGGTTGTTTTCAGCTTCTGGCTATTACAAATAAAGCTGCTACAAACATGGTTGAGCAAATGTCTTTGTTGTATACTTGAGCATCTTTTGGATACAAGCCTAGGAGTGGTATAGCTGGATCTTGAGGTAGCACTATTCCTAATTGTCTGAGAAAGCGCTAGATTGATTTATATAAAAGTGTGTGTGTGTATAGTAAGACTCCTCATTACCAGTTATTCCAGCAAATTAGATACATGCTTTGGCCTCAGGTTTCTTTGTCTCCCCATAAGGAGATTGTACAAGTTTACATTCCCACCAACAATGGCGCATGGTTCCTCTTTTTCCACATTATCTCCAGCACATGTTTTTAATTGAGTTTTTTGTCTTAGCCATTCTGATGGGTGTGAGATGAAATCTCAGGGTTGTTTGATTTAAATTTCCCTCATGACTAAGGATGTTGAGGGGCCTGAGGGATTTATTTTTCAGTCAAAGAAAACACAAAGAGGGCTGGAGAGATGGCTCAGTGGTTAAGAGCACTGGCTATTCTTCCAGAGGTCATGAGTTTAATTCCCAGCAACCACATGGTGGCTCACAACCATCTATAATGAGATCTGGTGCCCTCTTCTGGCGTGCAGGCAGAACACTGTATATGTAATTAATAAAAATTTTAAAAAAGCCTTAAAAAAAAAAAAAAAGAAAACACAAAGAGAAAAATTATCTGACCAATAGACAAAATACATTAGAAGTTTGTAGACTACGAAATGGTAGTAAAAGGCGGGAAGCGGTTTTTCAGATCAATAATAGTCAGGAAGTGTTCATTAAAACAGGTGCTATCATCCTTAGTGTGAAATGTTGAGACAGAACATTGAGCCAGGTGCACACCTGTAATCCCAGCACACAGGCAGGCAGATCTCTTTGAGTTCGAGGCCAGCCTGATCTACAAATCGAGTCTAGGACAGCCAAGGCTACACAGAGAAACCCTGTCTTGAAAAAATGAAAAGGAAAGAGAGGGAGAGGGAGAGAACGTTAGAGGTAGAATGTGAACATTATCATTTTAAAAATAACCCAAATAATTCTCACGTACTTGGTAGTCATCAATCACAGCCTGATTAGAACATGCTGTTTTGTTGGCGAGAGGACTTGACTGCGTGGCACGCTGTGTGTGGCAAACAGAAGCGGTTATACTGGGGACAGCTAATGAAGAGCAGTACTGTCTGCCCACGGGTCACCTCCAGAAATTCATCATAGCAACATCATTCTGTGCAGAGATGTGACTCCAGGGCAGTACTTTGAAGCACTGCACTATGGACTTCATTTTTAAAAAGTAAACTAATTGTATATTTAGAACAGTGGATTACAAAGCTCTTTGGAAGCTAAAGTAACCCCATTAAGACTGACCTGTGAGGTTGTCTCCAATATACCAAGAAGAAAAAGAAAATATTCAAAACGCTATATATAATATATATTTATATATTGCGTATATAATATATGTTCTTATATAATATATATGGCATCTTTCTGAAGAGCAGATTAGAAGGGATAAATAAAAACATTAATAGTATTTAACTCTGGGTGATGAAATTACAGAGACAATTTTTCTAAGTAATTCATCATTTTAACATTGTTTTGAGCTTTTTATAACCAAATGAGGAAAGAATCTTTAAAAGATTATAAGCAAAAAAAAACCCAAAAACCTCTTCTTTTTTAATTTCTTTCTCTCTCCCCTCTACCTCTTTCTTCCCCCATTCCTTCTCCATGTGTGTGTGTGTGTGTGTGTGTGCGCGTGTCCTGCATGTATGTCTGTTTACCATGTGCGTTCAGTGCCCACAGAAGCCAGAAGAGGACATCATGTTCCCTGTAACTGGAGTTACAGACAGTTGTAAGCCTCTCTGTGAGTGCTAGGAAATTGAGTCATAGTCCTCTGCAAGAGCAGCTATTGCTCTTAATGGCTGAGCCATCTTTCTGGTTCCTTTAACAAAAGTAACTCTTCAGTTGTATAGAGGAATAACAATAACTATCATTCCCAGATTGACATGGTTGGAAAAAAAACAATTTTAAGATTTCTGAGGTCACTGCTCTGCAACTTTTGTGGTTTAATAGATGAGCTCTTTTTCAGAAACTATTTTAACTGCATGGAAAAAGCTAGTGTTATGTATGGTTTTTCTTTCTTTCTTATTATTGTAGGCATAATTATGTCCTAAAACTTGGCTACCATAGTGCTCCGAAATAATATAGTGGTTGCCGCCAAAGACTATGTAAAGAGTGAGTAGCACCCATGCCAGAAGGGAGCCTTAGGACCTTTCTTTCACTCTCCACTGAAGTCACTTAGACTGTTTAGTGTTTATTGTCAACACATATGTTGTTACCTGGGAAGAGTGAACCTCAGTTGAAGAATTGCTTTTATAAGATTGGTCTGTGGGCATAGCTTTGGGAACTTGTCGTCTATTACTGATTAAATGCGAGAGGGCCCAGCCCACTATAGGCAGTGCTGTCCCTAGGTGGGTGATTCTAGACTATATAAGAAGCCAAGCTGAGAGAACTAGAGAGCAAGTCAGTAAATAATTTTCCTACGTGTTGTCTGCCACTGCTCATGCTTGAGTCCTGTCCTGATTCCCTCAGAGAAGGATTGTAACCTGCAAGCATACAATGAAACAAACCTCCCTCCCTAAATTGCTTTTGTCTGAATGTTTATCCCAGCAGCAGAAAGCAAGTGAGAACAGAAATTGGTACCAGAAGTAGGGTGTTGCTGTAGTGGATCTAACCATGTAATTTTTTTGGGGGGGGGGATTAAGATTGTGAAAGGATTTTGGAACTTAAAAGTTATTATCTCTGCATTATCTTCCAAGTTCCCAGGATACAATAGCTTTTTCTGGGTAAGCTATTGTATCCTGGGAACTTGGAAGATAATGCAGAGAGAAATGTTGACAATGGAGGCCAATTGTGAAGTTTCAGAGGAAAGAGAAAAAATCTTCGGGATGTTCATATGA